TCGACGTTTCTCGCAGGACAATACAATTATATGAGTGGTACTTCGGCTTCGACGGCTACAGCTGCCGGTGTCGGCGCCTTGATCAGTAGCTTGGGAGAAGCTGGTGGAAACTTAACTGAGGTCCTTCTCAAGTCTAAAACAGCTGGTATTCCCAATAATTTCAACCTTACCGATGTCGGGGAGATTGATGCTCTGGGGGCAGTTGAAATCAGCCGATGACTCATCGGCGATGAGAAGCGGTGGACCTTGATCCGGAGAGTCTCGCCCACCTCTAAAGTCCCTATGATTTCTTTATTGATTCGTATCGTCAAGAAGTTGGCTTCAATCGGCCATCTAGCCGCTTACTGGCATCATCAGCATATCTTTCTAGATCTCGAGTAGATCATGAACTCCGTTAAACCTGTTGTCAGGCCATTCATACCAGGCCCGATTTATCTTGACAAGTCCTTTAGTCACAGTCTCCCTACTTTTCAAGAATAGATTTCAGGATTTTAAAATTGTCCATGTGCGTTGTGTTTGAGATGTACCGTTTTTCGTCATCGAAATCGAGAATGTGATGCTACAGGAGTTGATCGGCAAGTAGGCGTTTTCCGGTAGTGACTCGGGCGAGCGTCCTGAGAGTTGGGAAGGCTCTGACAGAGTATGACGCACGCTTGCGGCGAGAGCTACGAGTCTTGCTGTAATGAATGAAGATTGGCGGCTCCCATACCCTTCTTTACGCCCTGCAAGCCAGGGGCCTATATCACAAGCGTCCTTACTAAGGACTAAGGACTCCTTAGATTAGGACGTCTTTACCTAACGTAAGGATGTGCTAAATGAGGATATTAGGAATACTAACGGCAATTATACACAACGTAAAATATTATACAACTACGAATCGAGCCTGGATCGATCGAACACCAATCGTAAACTCTCCCTCGACACCATTTTATACTTGGTATCTCTCTCTCGCTCTCGGCCGTCTTCGGCCAGGCGACAAACCAACAGCTGAGGGCAAGTTGGTTTTTTTTCATCTCGGTCTCAAAGCCTTAATCCTTCTCTCCCAGAGAACTCGGTCCTGAGCATCTCCTCGCGACAGACTCGCCACTCTCAAATCCTCTGCTATGAGATCCATCCAACCTTCCCGCTTTCTCCCGCTTATCTGAGCTCCCAAATGATATGCCGGATCCCACAACAGCAGTCTGTTCACTAGAGATGCGGGGGGTGTTCTAAGGATGTGGCCATACCAACGCAAGCGACGCATTCTAAGGACTATGTGACAATCAGGGCAACCAGACCTTCTCCAGATTTCGCGGTTTGTGGTGTGCGACGAAGGCGATATATGCAACACCCTCCGTATACACTTGTTGTAGAATGCACAGTATTTCTCCGTCTCATCTTTGCTCAGGGCAAAGCACTCGCTAGCATATAATAATATCGAGAATACCACACTTCGGAGAATAATAAACTTCTGTCTCAGGCTTACATCATGCGAGTTCCAAACTTTCTGTAGCCTTGCCATTCTTTGTCCCGCGAGTTGCATGCGCCTACGAATATGGGTTTCATTATCCCGTTTGCCATCGATTATGGCACCGAGGATGCTCAATTTATCAGTGCATTTAATCCTTGACTTTTCCGAGCTGCCTTCCTTACTCTCCAGGTTAATGCACAGTCTCTTGCACTTCTCCGGTGCTATCATGAGATTTGCAATTTTTCCATCCTCCTCGAGATACGATAGTTGACGGTCAGCTCCTTCGATTGTGGAGGCAGGTACTGTAACGTCGTC